GGGAATGTTTGGCAGTACTGAGATGCAGTTCTGCAGAACGGATCCCAGGTTAGATACCGTTCGATATCAACATGCTGAAAATGCGACAGTACTTCTTTTTTTGCAGTACCGTAAGTACCATTGGCAGTGTATGCACCGAGGAAGTAATTCTTCTAGAACTGACAGGGGTAGCATATATACCTACAGGTGTTCCAGTCTATTGCCCACATGCACAGGAAAAATTACATATGGGTAATTGTTTACATTTAGCTTGATAGTACAACCGACATTTTATTAGATTAATTTACATTTAGCTTGATAGCGATATGTTTTATCCCATACTGCTGCAGTTAATTAATAATCGAATAAGACATCAGTTGTATTTTCAAGCTATATGCAAACAATTTCTTAATTAAAAACACACTATTAAAATACATTTGTAAACGTATTTTACTGAGAACGCTTGCTGAAGCGGTAAGGGTGAGCTTGAAACTTACGGGGTACAAATGCCTCATGAGCTGAGTGAAACGTCACAGGGAAGGCTGAAGAAATTTGACACGACCGCTCTAGCCTGGTTAATTGTTAGCCATTTTTAGTTCCTAACAACATATTGTGGGGTATTTTGCGCATAAAACACCGTAGCAGCACGTCCACAGATACCAGTTGTACAGTAGTGTGCATGACCGATTTAATGAGCCAGAATTAACAGTTCAAAACTACAGCTTTCAACTGTTCAAACAGCGATGAAAAGGGATGTCATTCATAGCAATCATTGCAGCATCTATGAAAAATTGTTGCAATACTAGCACATAAATCATAGTACAGTTTTCTGTTCTGTTTATTTACAGAAATGCCATTTTTATAATGTTCAAATGTTTTTAATAAAGGAGTTTATGATTACATACATGGAGTAATCTTTTTTAACCATGGTATCGAATTGGATATTGAGAATCATGTAATTCTACTGGTACTCTACTAAATTTCTGGTATCATGACATCCCTAGGGGATACATACCGAAATATAAGCAGTTATATTAAACGTTAAAGAATCAATCTTAAATACAAATAATGTGCAATACAAATAAATTCTTTAAAAATCATACAATGTGATTTCCTGAATTTTTTTTAATGCTGTCTCTCTCAGTGGGAATGCACCTACAATGTGGATTTCAGACCCCTCCATGACTTCTAAGTGGGAGAACTTGCAAAATCACAGGGTGTTCAAATACTTGTGTTCCTCACTGTATATGTCATATGGGGCCCTGAAAGACGGGTTATGTTAGTCATCCCTGGTATCTGGAAGGGCCCTTCGATTAAATAGCATGGGGTATGATATGTCATATGTCTTAATAGGGCCCCTGAACCACAGGTTGTTATTCACCCTTTATATCTACAAGGGGCCTCTCAGTCAAATAACGTGGGGTTTTACATGTAAATGTCACATGTAGGCTACCCCTCTATCTGCTTCATTAGTGCGCAGGTCCAGGGCCGGTTCTGGAGGGGTAACAACGGGGGCGATTGCTCCCGGGCCCAGTAAAAAATAAAAATAAAGATTTCTCTCTGATCCTGCATTAAATGCATTGCTGAGTGCATGGCTTCCACACCATAGTCTAATTTACCCTGCCACTGTCGAAATATGGAACGTAAAAAATATTTCCACCAATGCAACACATACTGAAGTTCAAGTCAGTCTCTTCTGTTTGAATTACTTTTAATTGCTTCAGTATGTTAATACCAGAGGCGACTACAAGACTACAAGGGAAGCTCTGCGCCCCTAAAATGTCATCAAAAAGTTTGTGAATAAAATTCTCTCTTCCGGACTTTGCGCTGCGTGAATTCATGTATAATGTCATTAATTTCCAAGTCAAATTAAAAATTAATTAAGGTCAAAGATGAAACAAGAACGTCTCTGCTGGCTTTCTCTGATGGCCATCGAGAGTGAGCTGACCAATTCGTTGGACTTTAATAACATTATACATGAATTCGCGCAGCGCAAAGTCTGGAAGAGATGCATTTAATATGTGGATAGAAATAAGCGATTTCTTGGTTGACATAAAGTTATTAGTTTGATATACGCTATATATACGTTTCAGATCAGATTCTGTGCGAGTTATTTGTGATGTTTCATGAGTAAAATGGAGTGTAGTATATATGTAGTATAGTTTTTAGCGCAACCTTTCTACCGCTGCTGATTTGTATGTGTGCATTGTTTTTGTTTTTTGGGGGGGGGGGGCTTTCTCGTTGTCTGGCCCAGGGGCCCACGGACTCATAATCCGTACCTGCTATTAACTAGTTTAGATAATTCATTGTTCTTCACACATACAAACATTTATTAGTGAAATTCCTGATCTCTCCTGGATCTTTAGCCAATTAACTTTCATAAATCCATTTAATTTACTACTGCTGCTCTGTTATCCATAAAACAATTTTAAATCATAAACTTATATGACAGAATAAAATTTATATCAATTTGTTTTAAAACATTCTTTAAATTAATCAAAATACAAGAACATATCAACCATATTTAATGGGCTCACCTTCAGTTACACCCCACAGGATGAACGCAATGCAAACTATGCCTGCTGGAACTGCGACAAGTAGGCACTGACAGCACCGCTCACGGCGCAGCTCACGGTGCAGCTTACGGTGCAGCTCAGACCACTGCTCATAGGGCCCCTCAAGGCACAGCCTACGACACT